TCCCAAGCATAACACCTGCTTTAAGGTGGTCGTTTAAGGTTCCAAGATGACATCTTGGGGAACATCTTGACAATGGATGGCGACGGGGAAAAAGAAATTGAAGCATCGCAGCGGGAGAGCGTGGGGCATTTTCAGTCAGCTGAAAGGTTGGTTTCACTTAATTTCTACTGTAAAGTTCATTACATAATGTGCATCAAAATATGCAGATGGAATATATTTGGTGGTGTGCCAGCCTTGTTGGCTACCATTTACATGTATATATACATATATATATATACATATATATATATATTATTATTATTATTATATATTTATATAATACTTCTACAAATGCAGAAATGTACGAGAGGGGGGGGGTCCCCCCCCACAATCAGGAGGGATTACATGCATGCATGCATACATACACGCACGCACGCACAGACATGCATGCATGCATACAGACAGACAGACAGACAGACATACATACGTACATACACACGGTCACAGTGTCTCGCTTAGGCCTACGTTTTTACTCGCTTCGGACTACGTCGGTGATATATGGCTACAGTCTCAATAGAAAGATATATCCATGTATTTGAACTTGATTTCAAGAGGCTTGTACATGTGTATTTGAGATCATCATCAGGTTGCTGCTGCACCGTGCATGTGTGTGTCGTAACATCTTTTGGTAATCCCTGCGCAGGCAGGGTTATCCGAGGTTCGTCTCGAAGTTTATTGGCAAAAGTCCTGCTTATTGATTCTCCAATGCATCTAAGTCTTGGCCCCCCTGGCCCCAGAGTGTTGACAGGAGCGGATCATAAAATGTTGTATCCGGATCATAAAATGTTGTATCCTTTTCCCGGTCCCCAGTCCCCGGTCCCCTGTCCTCCTCTAAAAGAATTAACCCCATGGAGTCCAATGAATATCAATGAATTCGATGTCGTGTCTCTTACCTCTACTTGTTCCCACTGTCCCCCCGTCCCTGGTCCCGTGTCCCCGGTCCCCTGTCCCCCCTAAAAAAATTAACCCTAAAGGTCTGTATCTAAAGGACTTAACCCTGAAGGTTATGAAGGTTGAAGTCCTCTTCTCAAAATGTCGTCCTAAGTCAGTGAAAAAGTCGTCCTAAGTGATCCTTTGACCCATACAGACAGACATACATACATACATACAGTACATGCATACATACATACCTACATAGCTACATATCTACATACCTACATACCTACATACCTACATACATACCTACCTACATACGTACGTACATACATACATACATACATACAGACACACACACACGCACATCCATCCATCCATCCATCCATCCACCCATGCATGCATGCATGCATACATACATACATACATACATATACGTACACACACATGCATACATACTTACATGCATGCACATACATACATGCATGAATGCATGCATACATACATACATGCATGCATGCATGCATACATATACACACAGACATACATACATACATACATGCATGCATGCATGCGTACGTACGTACGTACATACATACATACATATACATATACATGTAAAAATGCACACACATACATACATAGATACATGGATACATAGATACACAGATACATAGATAGATAGATAGATACATAGATGGATAGATAGATACATACATACATACATACATGCATACATACATACATTACAATCATTGCAGTCATTACAATCGTTACAACCATTACAGTCATTACAATCATTACAATCATTGCAGTCATTACTACCATTACAATCACTACAATCATTACAATCATTACAATCATTTCAATCATTGCATACATGCATACATGCATACATGCATACATGCATACATGCATACATGCATACATGCATACATGCATACGTGCATACATGCATACATGCATACGTGCATACATACATACATACATACATACATACATACATACATACATACATACATACATACATACACACAGACATACATACATACATGCATTACAGTCATTACAATCATTACAATCATTGCAGTCATTACTACATGCATACATACATACATACACACAGACATACACACATACATGCATTACAATCATTACATTCATGACAATCAAATACAATCATTACAATCATTTCATACATGCACACATGCATACATACATACATACACACAGGCATACATACATACATGCATTACAAGCGTTACAGTCATTACAATCATTACAATCATTGCAACCATTACAATCATTACAATCATTACAACCATTACATACATGCATACATGCATTACAAGCGTTACAGTCATTACAATCATTACAATCATTGCAACCATTACAATCATTACAATCATTACAACCATTACATACATGCATACATTCGTACATACATACATACAGACATACACGCATACACGCATACACATACATATGCATACACATATACATTTACATAACTATACATATACATTTACAAATTAATTACATTTACACACATATATACATACATCTATTGACATACATACATACATATACAGTTACCATTACATTTACATTCGCATTTACATTTTCATACACATATACATACACACATACATACACATATCTACTCTACACATACATACACATACATACACATACATACACATACACATGCACATACACACACATACACATACACATACACATACACACACATACACATACACATACGCATACATACACATACACACACACACACATACACATACACACACATACACATACACATACGCATACATACACGTACACACACACATACACATACACACACACATACACATACACATACATATACGCATACATACACATACATACATACATACATGCATGCATGCATGCATACAGACAGACAGACATACATACATAAGATACATACATACACTCACATGCATATACACGTACACGTACACGTACACGTACACGCACACATGTGTATATATATATATATACATATACAATATATGTATAATACATATTTGCTCCCTGTATCTAGGACACCCGCATGTATAGCATGCATCTATCCTATCTGTATACCCTATCAATTATTCAATCTATCCGCATTATCCGCCTTCTCTTTTCTTATCCTGCTTTACCTTATCTCATCCTTCATATCTTATCATCATCTAGCTATTTGTCTATCCATCCACCCATCCCTGCATCCATCTATCTGTCGATTGATCCATTTATCGATCGATCCATCTATGTATCCGTCTGTCTATTCATCTATACATCCATCCATCAATCTATCTATCTTTCCATCTAGCCATCCTCCTATCAATCTGTCAATCTATCAAGAATTTTGGACGCATTTCCAGTGTTGGTGCACTTTTGGACCGGCAGATAGTTGCAAATAATTCAGATATGCAGCCGCAAACATGTAACAACGCGTTTCCTCGCAACCAAATGGAGTCTCCAAAGATGCCATCATTACCTCCCCACCCCACGTTCCCAAAATTTTCTCTCCAGAGGTGGAAGGAAATCCGCGCCTGGTCAACCTCCCACAGATGAACCCAGACCTGGGTGGTGTTGGTAAGATCAGTTGCATATTTGATGGGGGTTTTGCTTGGGTGCTCGTCACTCAACTCTTTTGACCGTTGACCAATGTTGGAAACAAATTTTCGAACTGTTTTGCGCCGGCTGTTGGCATGAGAGGGTTGCCAAGGGGAACATTTTATTTTCAGTCTATCCTATACGTTCGACCGGGTTGAAGTGGTCTCGTTAAGGCCTGCGAACGTCTGAGCGTATGGTTGAGGGTGTGTTGTTTAGTGATTAGCAGAACATGATGCAAGGTAATGCAACGCACCTGATGGTCTAAGAGAGTTATGGAATGAAATGCCACGTAGCATGGTGGTATGTCCTGTCCTGTCATGTCCTGTCCTGTTCTTTTCTTTTCTGTGTGCGTGTTTTTGCAGTTCTTGGCCCGCAAGAACCATGAGTTTCTGCAAGTGATTTTCGCCCAGGCTGGTTGAGCTCGTGACCCAGGCTAATCTAGAAGAAGAGAATGCATATATCGAAAAAGTGAAGAAATTCATCAACTTGCCAGACGGTCGAAGCGGCTAAGCTTGCATTGGGCACTGCGTAGCAACATTTCCGCCACGATTCGTGCAGCGGCCGTGTTTTTCATTTGTTGCATTGCAGAGGAATCCCCATGTGATGAGCGTGCAACACTGAAACACTCATTGAGGAGAATACTGCACACCCTGCACACCTCCAACATTCAACTGTTCTGTCTCCTGATGGCTCCACTGATAAAGGCCAGCCAAGCTGACTTGTTCCTCTCATCCTTCTGCAACAAACTGAGAATGGACATTCGCACTTAAAGTTTTGATAGAGTAGAGGATTGAAATTGTGCTTTAGTTTTCTGCAATGCAACGCAACAGACATGAAGGAATGACAGATGCAGCGAAAGGAAATGAGAGAACGCGAGGAAGGGGGAAAGAGAGAGAGAGATAGAGAGAGAGAGAGAGACAGAGAAAGAGAGAGGGAGAGAAAGCGAGTGCGTACATGTACGCACGTCGGACACGTGTGTGTGTGAGAGAGAGAGAGACAGTTGAACTTTTTGACGCAGGCTGCTTGCAAGCGTTGGATACTGCTTCTGATGACAAGTGACCATGATTACATAGAAATAATGCACTGCAATTTTACTGTGCCAAACCCGACACATGAGTGCGGTGTGCTGCTAGTTGTCGCTATTTTTTTAAAATAACCGTAAGCCTCAAGAGCTCAGTTTCAATTCTATACCAGAGGTCCATTGACTTGGATCTCCGCTTCCCTGTTTGGCCGGAGGGAAGCTTTACATTCTGCCCACCAGCTGGTTGTCGACTGTTGCGCTGAATAAAAAGGAAACTCTTCAGAGTTGCAGGACTACAACTGGGCCGGCCCATTTGCAATGCAGCAGTTGTAGCATTTTCGCAGGAGCAGAGTGCCAACACCGTCAGATTCTAGACTCCACTATCTTTTTGAACATGTTTGAATTGCCAGGTAGCTGCGCAGGCTGGTTTGCAGCGGCTTCTCAACAACCAAGCTTCGAAGCAGCAGGCGCCAGCGAACAGCATTCCCCCCTTGCAGGCCCTTTATGTTGGATAAGATGGGATAGGGGTTCGAGGCGTGAAGTTCTCGTGTTTGTGCTTTGTGAACTTTGAAAGATTTGGCAAGGCAACTGGTGCAACTCTGGACGTGGCATTGGCTGACCTGGACTCCTTGAGGTCAGTGGATTGACGTTCTGAATCTCAATGAGCTTTCCCATCAGTTGTCCAACGTCCAGGCGCCACGCAGCAGAAGCAGCCAAAGCTGCAAAACAGGCTTCAGCCGAAGCCGCTTCAGCCATCGCCTGGCTGATGCCACAATATGCCAAAGCTGCCAAAGCTAAATTGAAACACCTCAATCGCTTCTGTGAAGTCTGTGAAGCTGCCAGGATTGAGTGCACAGTCCCGAAACCGGCGCAAACCTGGCAGGTGGTGTCTGGACTCTCAAAACCAGCTGGCTATGAAGGCGGTGTCCCGATTGCGCGACATGTCGCCTTGACGAGGTAAACACATTCGAGCAAATTGGAGCTTTCACTATTCAGACGAGCCACAGTCATATTCTGTTGGCGCATCAACGCTTTCAACACGATCTGCTAGTGGTCTTCTTCTCCGTCACCCTACATGAGCAAAAGGTCCCTCTATATTTATATAATAGATATTTATATAATTGGTTGTTCCGATTTGGCAGTTTGCGCCAAACTCATGCCGCTCCTAGAAGAGAAGGTGGGATGGTGTCGAAGCATGGTTGAGGTGGGAGCTCCGAGGTGGATAGTGACGTCAGCAAATTGCTGGAGGAGCAGTTGAATGGGCTGGTAAACTCATATACATATACAGCTGCCGGCAAAGGCGGTGTTGGAGCTAAGCCCTCAGAGAGAGAGAGAGGGGGGGAGATAGAGTTGTCGGCAAAATTATGGTAAATGAAAAAAAGGAATCCTGCGGCTACCTCAAAATGAAGGAATTCCCGAAGTCCGCAAGTCCGCAAAGTCCGCAAAGTCCGCAAGTCATCGCAAGTCAGTCATAGTTACTCTTATTTTTTTTGAGCCTTCAAGATGTTCATTCCAAGAAAAAAGGTATTGTAAAGCAAATGATTGCAAAGCCCCTGCCCTGCAGGACATCTCAATCATGGAATTTTCACTTAAGGGAACTCGATCCACAAAGTCCTACTTTTTAAGATGCCTGGGGGCCGGCCGCCGACCTTTGGTCATGATTACTTTTCATCCAAGAGTGTGTGAGCCGTACAACAAAACTTGCAGTAGCCATAAATATTATAGGAACTTATGTTGGCTCCCTTTGCTGCAAAAAATGGAAACATGTAGCCTGATTAGAGGAAACACTACTTATGCAACTGTTATTTGCAACATTTTGCAACGGTGGGTGGGAGAGGACAGATCAGAAATTTCCATTTCTTGACCGTTTTTGTGTAGTTTCAGCAGAAAGTATATCCGACAGTCTTTATTGCAGTTAGCAACTGTGGCAATTCCTGATGTTGACACTCCGCGTTTGCACATGCCACTCCTTCGTCGTGAGACTCACCGAGACTCCTTGTTCATAACTTGTTCCTTTCCAGGACTTCGGCCTTTTGCAGGCAGATGGCAGCACCATATCCATGAGCGGGGGTCAGAAGAAGGCTCACGAACGGAGCGCGCTAGCTACATTTGCATCATTTGCCACTTTGCACTTAGGCATAATATGCATGAATATGCTAGGTGGTCATACTGTACATAATTAATTAATCTATTATACAGATGACAGATGTTACAATAATGTATATTGACCCCCCTGTATTACTACAGCAGAATATACATGTTCCAAGCGCCTCAACAGCCGATACTTAGCCATTTATCACAATTTTTTTGGTGGGACTAATATACATCCCCAAATGGTAATTTGTGGTAGACAATAGTGAATAAATATGACATGTGACTAAAAAATGACCGGGCGAACAAGGTCGAGAAGTGATAAGCAATAGTTATGGATGCTGTAAGCAAATCACCGGCTTTCACATTGTGCCAGGAGAGAGGGCTTAGGCTTTTTCACACGGTCGAGTGCAGCCGACTACAGCCGACTACAGCCGACTACAGCTGACTACAGCTCAGCCGACTACAGCCGACTACAGCTGACTACAGCCGAGTACAGCCGACCACAGCCGACTACAGCTGACCAGCCGACTACAGCCGAGCAGCCGACTACAGCCGACTACAGCCGACTACAATCGACTACAGCCGACCATGCCAACTACAGCCGACTACAGCCGACTACAGCATGCAGCCGACTGCAGCCGACTACAGCCGAGCATAGCCGACCACAGCCGACTACAGCCGAGCAGCCGACTGCAGCCAACTACAGACGACTGCAGCCGACTACAGCCGACTACAGCCGACTACGGCCGACTACAGCCAAGCACAGCTAACTACAGCCAACTAGAGCCGAGCACAGCCGACCAGCCGACTACAGCCAACTACAACCAACTACAGCCAACTACAGCCGAGCACAGCCGACTACAGCCGACTACAGCCGAGCACAGCCAACTACAGCTAACTACAGCCGACCAGCCGAGTACAGCTGAGTAAAGCTGATTACAGCCGACTACAGCCGACTACAGCCGAGCACAGCCAACTACAGCCAACTACAGCCGACCAGCCGAGTACAGCTGAGTAAAGCTGATTACAGCCGACTACAGCTGACTACAGCCGACTGCAGCCGAGCACAGCCGAGCACAGCAGAGCACAGCCGGGCATTGCAGGAAGAGCTTCTAACCAAAGCAGGCTAGCAGCAACTGAGCTCAACAGTTTCTGACAATGAGAGCCATCAGATTCCAAATAAAGTAACATGGTTTGGTTGCATTCGATCACGTGACATTCCTTGGCCTCCTCTCCTGCACACAGCTATTTGTAGCAAAAGTGGATCATTTGAGTTCCTGGTTGAACTTCCACAGGTGTTTAATTCAAAATAAACGAGTCCATCACAATTCCAAAGAAACAAATCATAATTTGACATACTTTGACCGCGTTTTTTATCGTCTTTTTTTGCAAATAGTGATGGTTTTGGGTACCCAAATTCTTTTGACAAATTATGACAAATTATGACAAATTAGTAAATTTATTACGCCTAAGCAACATGAATTAGTTTGGAGACTAAAGGTAGCCTGCATGGGGCTGGTTGGCCTGTAGAAAATACGATACGCCGATACGCATCCAAATGCCATTTCGAACAAAAAGAAAAAACTCCAAGTCCCTTGTTAACTTCGAACAGCGTGCTTCACAGTGGAGGTCCCCCAATTGAATTATAATTGCACGAACTTGCCATCAAAACTTTCAATTCGCGGATCAGCATTTGGCAAACTTGCAGAAATATATGGCCAGTCTGAGTCTGGGGACACAATAGTTTCGCAATGATTTGCATGAAGAATGTTTGCTTGTGAAAGAACCTGCTTACATGATATTCATTTGAAATCTGTCTGCCTGAGACCATCTGTCTAGTGAGACAACCTGCGCACAAACACATGTACTTGTGACACTTATTCACTTTTTAGAAAGTATTACATGTGATTTCTTAACATGAGAATACTTGACTGAAACCAAATAAAAATGTACACGACATGTAACATCATGTAACTATTTACGACATATTTCCCTGTAATTAGTTGACACATTCATGCATTGTAGTTTCAGTAACCTATATAGTTAGTTCAAAGTTAGTTCATAGGACTGGTGCCAAAAGCGAGGTGCGAAAATACGATGGTCGGACATGCTTGGCCATCGTATTTTTTCGTGTCGCTTTAATGCCCAAATTGCCCAAATTATTTTCCAAGTGGCTGTGAAAGTGAAAGTTAAAACTTAAGGTTGCTTTTTGCTTCTATCATGTATGTATATATATATGTATGTATATTACCAGTAGTACCGCGCAAGGCGGTGGCGGAAGTTTTAGGAGAGATTGGTTGTTGTGAGTCACGGATGGCAGAGCGAATCCACTGATGGACCGACAGGTGGTTGGAGTTCTGTTTTTTGGAGTATGGTTGCAGTGGTCACCTTACCACAACTGCTGGATGTAGTGTGGTGTAGCGCAGTTGTAGTTGTAGTTGTAGCGTAGTGTAGTGTAATGTTGTAGTGGAGCTGTAGCTGTAATGTAGTGTAATTAGCGCATTTGCAAGCGCAGCTGCAGTTGTATTCGCGGTGTGGTGTAATCAGTGTAGTGTAGCGTAGCGTAATGCCATGTAGTGTTGTGTAGTGTAGTGTGGTGTAGTGTAGTGTAGTCTAGTGTAAGGTAGCGTAGTTGTAGTTGTAGTGTAGTGGGGTGTAAGTAGCGTAGTGAAATTGTAGTTGTAGTGTAGTGTAGTGAAATTAGTGTAGTGTAGTGTAGTGTAGTGCAGTGTAATGTAGTTTAGTATGCGTAGTGTAGCGTAGTGTAATGTAGTGTAGTGTAGTGAGGTGTGGTGTAGTGTAGTGTAGTGTAGTATGTGTAGTGTTGACGTACTGGTAGTTGTAGTATGTTGTAGTTGCAGCTGCAGCTGCAGTTGTAGTTGTAGCGTAATGCAATGTAGTCAGTGTAGCGTAGTGTTGTGTAATGTAGTGTGGTTGTAATTGTATTTGTAGTTGTAGTGTGCTGCAGTGTAATTAGTGTAGTGTCGTTGTAATTGTAGTTGTAGCTGTGGTAGTGGCAGTGGTAGTGGTAGTAGTAGGAGTAGTAGTAGTAGTGGTAGTAGTAGTAGTAGTATTAGTAGTAGTAGTAGTAGTAACAGGAGTAGTAGGAGTAGTAGTAGTAGTAGTAGCAGTAGCAGTAGCAGTAACAGGAGTAGTAGTAGTAGCAGTAGCAGTAGCAGTAACAGGAGTAGTAGTAGTAGTAGTTGTTGTTCCCCACATCACTGTGTGGGGTTCTTGTTTTTCGCTTGGATCCCGCCGGGGCTCCGCTCCTTCGCCTCCTCCACCGCCTCCTCCTCACTCACTCACTCACTCCCTCCCTCCCTCCCC